AAAGAAAGAGAAAGGATAGTATAAGGAGCATAGTATATGATCCTGGCCAAAAAAAAAAAAAAAAGTCTATGATCGTGCACTTTTCTATATGCTGTGTTAGAGCTTTAGTCATTATTTTAGGTCTGACTCCACTTGCTAAGCTTGTGCACCATGCAACGAGAATTGCTGACTGTTTGAGGAAGATGAGTCCATGAATGATTTTAAGGAACGTTAGAGCTGGTTTGATTAAACTCTGCAATGTAAAATATGCTTGCTGCACTTAATAATTATCTTCCTGTGTCATTATTAAAGGATATTGAATGAACATTTCTCCTAGTGTCGCACTGATGACAGTATCTTGAAATCTAGACGGCTATTCTTTGAAATTTGTCTTTTCCCTGTTTTTGATAATTTATGACTATCTTCTCTTAAATTCTACGCCTGTAAGGTATCATAATGACTCTTCTTATCATTATCTTGCATTTACAGATTCTGGTTTCAATAGTGTGCTAGATTTTGAAATGAGAGGATGCTTTTTTTAAATATTCATGCCATCTTTCAGATTGTTAAGACTTCTAGACCAGCGTTACAAAGGAATTGCTCATGGAGTTGGCCAATCAGAGATATTAGGACGAATACATGTAGCTCCAATCAAGGTAATATTATTCTAACCATTTTTGTGGTGATGATTTTCAGGCGGATGAAGTTGTGTCCATCTTAGTGTCTGTTGCTATCTGGTAGATTATAATTGTATGTCGAATGGACTAGCACAGATGTCCAATTTCATGCTCAAACATATTTGGTGTTCTGGTTTTCTTTTGACTTTAGGGAACAAAGTTCACAGGTTGATAAATACGTGAATATTCCCTAGAGAAGAATCTTTATTGTAGTCTGTTTATCTAATACTCCTTCAGTCCTAAATGTAAGACCCATTTTGTAGTGTCAATAAGTAAAACCCATTTTGTAGTATAATTGACACTACAAAATGGGTCTTATATTTAGGACCAAAGGAGTATTAGTAAGTAGTGACCTCTTTCAGGCTCCCTTGACCACTTTTTGTACGATTTCCGTTTATAGGAAAAATAGATTTTATCAATAAATAAAGAGCAAACTATTCTGGACTTTTTTATAATGTGGTTAAGGTTGAAATGATAGCCTACGGATTCCAAATTTGCATTTTAGGTACAGGGTGCATCCTGATTTTTTCTTATACAATGTACTTGAGCATGATTACTTTCTATGTCTCTAAAAGGGTTCATGTTTGTGCATTACAGTTTTGATAAAGTTACTCTTTCTGAAATGACAGACCATTCTCTTATAGTATTTTCCTCTCTAATATGTATGTCTCCTTTCCCACTTTCTCTTTGTTTGTCATTCTTCATGTAGATTGGGAATATATTCTACCCTTGCTCATTTTTAGTGCTCGATGCTCCTAACATGGAGTTCCTTTTTGGGCTGGATATGCTCCGAAAGCACCAGGTAAGATACTCATTTGCTAACTCAGGTATCCTCACTTCCAGTAAAATCTGTGTTTTTTGTGAAAATTTTCTGGTGTCTGCAGTGCATTATAGATTTAAAAGACAATGTTTTGCGAGTTGGTGGAGGAGAAGTTTCTGTGCCATTTTTGCAAGGTCAGTCTTCTAACGTGTGGATGGAATCATAACATATTCATGAAGATTTTTCCTGCTTGTGTTCGTATAGCTCTCTCTTAAACTCTTGGTTAACATTTTTGTGTGCTATGGTCAGAAAAAGACATACCATCTCGGTTTCTGGATGAAGAAAGGTATGCTAAGGAAGCATCCAGCTCAGGTGCCCCAGTAAGTATACCTGTGTTCGGTTGAATTTAATCAAGCAAATGACTTCAAATTTTTATTGTGTTTTAAATTTATTTTTGCTTTGCTCAGTGATTTTGTTTTGACAACTTTGTATTATCCTTTAGGCAACAGGACCAACAGATCGGAGTGGTGCTGCACCAAAAGGAGGCCAGTCTTCAGGTTAGTACCGGATTTTGTTCCTACTAATTGTTCTGCAGGGGAAAGTTTTATATGTTTTGACTCATTGGAATTCACTAGATTCTTATTGGAATTCTGATGGGTCCCTAAGTGGGACCTGGGAAGCTAACTGTGTTGAGGTGGGATAACCAACCCACTTAAACACCCACGAAGCGTTCCATCCTACTAACTCTCTATCAAATTCCATACTTGATAGTTATTCCTTCCTTGATATTCTAATTAACCTTACTTTATAGACAATTTTTACGTAAAAGTTGTGCAGTTTCTGTTTAATCCACGCAAACATGTTATTTCTCCTTTTCAAATTTTGCATATATAATACTGATATTATAGTTAAATTCAACATTCTAATTCGTTTGCTATTATCCATTTCTTTCTAGGAGGAGCTTCTGGTGGCACTTCTCAGGTAAATTTGCAACTAAGAAGTGTTTCAGTGTTTTGCATCATTCCCGTCATTTTCTCTATTCTTTTTTTCTGAAGCAATTTCAGATGCGATTGATGTGAATGCTAGTGATCCCAGATACTATCAATATAATAATAGAGCTTCACTGTGATTGCAGGAGGGTGATTTTGAAGCAAAAGTAGCAAAGCTGGTGGAGTTAGGGTTTGGAAGAGAAGCAGTGGTACAAGCTCTTAAATTATTCAATGGCAATGAGGATCAAGCTGCCGGGTTTCTTTTTGGGGGTTTCTAGAATCCATTAATTAGTTTACTGCAACTGCAAATAGTATTTTTGCTTCTGTTTCCACATTCATTTTAATTCTATAAAAATGGAATTGGCGAGCAGGTGATGTTTCATGCTGCTAAGGAACTGTTTTGATTCAATTGGATAGGTCTAATTTATGGTTTAGTTATAAGGTTCAAGCATGTGATATTCACCTGTACAAGACAACAGGTTTGGAATAAACAATCTATGTTTCCAAACAAACGTTAGACAATGTGTGTTTATAAATCCTTTTCTTCTTGTTTACATTTAGTCAGTCACTACCAGGATTTTTTTTTTTTTGCTTAAAAAGATTCTGATAGGGCTTATTACTTATATTTAAAGCTGGAATAATATGGCCTCAGAATGTTGTAACTTGCTATAGGCGTGAAAAAACCACACTACTCCCTCTTCAAATCTGTTCGACTGTAAATAATATATGTCAATTGTGAACTTGTGTGGGCCAATTGTAGATAAAGCCCACAAAATACTACTTCTGCTTTTTAATATAACAACTAGTTTAGCATTCAATTTGGTTCTAAATATAAGATTTTAATTTACTATATATCTCAATATTTATCTTTTTTTTAAAAAATAATCCTTATAGTAGTTGTACATATTAAAGGTTTGGAGAAAACTTAGGTCAAGTTACTTGGATCCATTAGGTCCAGTCAGCCAATGAAAAAATGCCACCTTAATTATTTTTCCACATCAGCCCTTAACCCCGTAAACTCCCGTTAGTGGACTAAAATTTCTGGAAAAAAAATTTAAGAAAAAAAGGAGAGGAGTTGCGATGAGAGCAAGGGCTAAAGAAAACAAAGTCGGATTTCCCAACAATGACAACGGCAATTTTGAAAGTTCCGATGGCCTGGTTCTGTCAAAGGAAGATCAATATCCAGTGTATGGAGGAATAAAGAAAAATGGAACGGGGACATCAAGATGCTCATGGCGGAGGAAGACATCCTGCTGTGTCGAAGGAAGAGATTATCGAAAAACCAAAAGAAAGTTGTTTTACAGATTCTTCTCTCAGTAACCCTCTTCCTTTATCCTCTAAAGCATCGTTGTTGGGGACTGAAGCTACGGAAGCAAAAACAAATTATGATTACGCAACAAAATGGTTATTGGAGGAGAAAAATTGGATTCGAAATATACAAAAGAACAGCAGGAAATTATCACCTTTAACAGTTTGATTGATAATAATGGAGTTTTGCTAGGCCTAGTTGAATTCATTAAAAACTCAGGCAAGTTTCAATTTCCCAAGGATCTGAATGAGGTTTCTTCAAAGTTGTCATTGTCTTTATGGGGAACTCTCATGCCCCTCCGATTTGGCTCTCTCTTTGTTTTTCCTTTTTTACCTTTTTTTCCCCTAAAGTTTTAGTGGCAAACGATGGTCTAAGGGGTTAAGGGCTGATTCGGAAAAATAATCCAGGTGGCAGTACCTAATTGGTTAACTGGACTTAACGGACCTAACGCACTTGATTTGTCCTAAAGGTTTCATTTAGTAGTTTCAGCTAATGCACATAATTAATCTACTTTATGTTTCAATATTTATTCGTTTTTTTAAAGTAATTCTTATAGTAATTGTACATATTAAAAGTTTTATTTAGTAGTTTAGCCTAATACAGATAATTAATAAAGGTAATTAAAAAAATCAACAATTAATTACAAACAATTAAATTAATATTTTTAATCTTTTCAAATTAATTAATTATATCTTATATTAAGTATCAAGGGTAGTAACTTTGTTTTGGGTGTATTCAAAGGGTACGAGCATGACTTGTTTTTAGACACTTTAAATTGTTTGTCGCAATAACACCGCTAGTTGGAAATTTTTTTTTTATATTAATTCAAAGTTTTTTTTTTGTGTGAATGTAATTAACGAAGGGTACTCCCCTTGGCACGTGCAAATGGATTTAAGGCTATATATATGTGCGCGCGCGCGTTTGTATATGTATTCTCATTTTTCTTAATTTTCCAATTCCATCTGTTGCCAAAATTCACTAGGCTAATGCTATGGTTAATTGAAAGTTTTGTAAAAATTAAATCTAAAAGGGTTTTTCTTAGTACTAAACTCTTTTTGACAAATTATATGCCCCTAGTAATTTCTTAAAATCATGTTAATAGTCTAAAACACAATTATGTATCTTTTGACAGTCGGAAAAGCCAAGCAGAGGCTACTATGAAACTCCACCAATGTCATATCTATAATCCATACTAACAAATTTCTAAAATCCAAAAAACAAATGAACAAACAATCTTAAAAGACGTAACATAACTAAGATAACAAGAGAATCCTCGTAATCATCCCCTACTTGTGGTGCGCCACTATAGGACTTCTCACTGTGTTCTTCCCATTTGTCCACATTATCTCTGCAAAAGAATAAGCTGCAGGCCTGTGCCGACCAGTTCCTTCTATCATAACCTGGAAGCTCTTCTTCTCACCAACTTTGCCGAATCTCAAGTGACTTGGCTCAACAAAGACATTAAGTCCCTTAGGAACCTTAATATCCACGAAATACTTGCTTGGTCTCCCCACGTTCGTCACTGTCCTTGTAACTTTGACTGTATTTGTCCCCAGAATGGGCACTGTGATTGAAGGGTAGTTGAAATCCAGCACATTGGTTGACTTTGGACAAGTGAAGGGCTTTCCATAAAGTGCCTGAATAAGTGTTTCATTGTAGCCATAACCACATAAGAAGGTCAAGTAATCATTGATTGTCAGATCATAAACAAGCCCCGGGTCCATAGCTGCATCAGGTTGAACATGTCCTGCTCCATAAGCAAATGGTATTGCTTCTTTCATGGATGAATCCAGAATAGAATTCTTGGCGTCATCTGTAGTGCTTGCTGAAAAAGAATGAGTTCCAGAGAAGTTAGAAAGGAAGTTCTTAGCAGACCAACAACCAGGGATATGAAAGTGGGTCTGAGAAACCTTTTAACAAAATATACTTGCTCAGTTTTATGCATATTACATATTGAACTTATTAAAAAGATCTCCTTTTTAAGATGTGTTGAGAGTGATATATATTGTACCGGTGGTCATGATTGCCGATCTGATGGCTGCAGGACTCCAGTCAGGATGACGGGTTTTGAGAAGGCTTACAATGCCAGAAATATGAGGGCAAGACATAGAAGTTCCTGACATTGCATTGAAAGGAACTCTTCGTTTATCAAAATCTTGCTCAGTTGGGCCTATGGCTTCTGTATAAGCAGCAATGATGTTCACCCCAGGTGCAGTAATATCAGGCTGAAGCAGAAAGCCAACAGGTGAAATTTTTTTCCAGTAAAATCATCTCTATGAGGTAAAGTTGATGAAGCAACAAAGAGAACAAACCTTGAGGATTGAAGGCAGGATTGTGTTGGGTCCCCTTGAAGAGAATGCAGCCATGACAGGAGCTGGCTTTATTGGCATTAATGTTTTGGCACTAGTCATGTAAGCCACAGGGTTCCTACACGATATGAACAAGTAATTTAAGAACTCAACAATATCAAAACTAGCTTATAGCACAAGAAAGATCATTACTTGGCTTTCTTGATGTACTTATAAAGATATTGACCATCTTCATAATTGATATTTGAAGCAGGCAAAACATGAGGGTCTGCTATAGTATTATCCATGCTTTGGGCATCATTGGCCAAGATCATCCCTACTGCTCCTACTCGAGAGGCTTCCACGCCTTTTGCTGTTCTTGCATTCTCACCTCTGAGGCAGACCAATATCTTCGCCTTCACCTTTTTAGGATCAAGGGTTCCATTGAGGCAGAGCTCACTGCAAGAATCCAAGATGTGCATCACATTCTACTAACAAAACTTTCGGAATTGAAACCAGTTTGGAATGGTACTCACGCAAAATTGGATGGCACATCAGGAGCTCCGGCATCCTTAGAACTAATCAGAGGGTAGAATTTTTGAGATGGCAAGCTCATAGCTGAAAGAGTGGCTCCCTGAAAGTCACAAACAAATCTCAATGTAATTTACAGTTACAGAATTCACACAACCATTATACCAACTTCAAAGCAAAATGAGAAAGAACATGTTACAGTACCGTCAGATGCTTCCTATCACCAAGAGCTATATAGTTAACGAAGTTCCTATCTAATGTGCTAGCGCCAACAGTTAACATCCATGGAGCTATATTAGACACAGATCCAGGTCTTGGTCCGGAATTGCCTGCAGAACTAACTACCGATATTCCCTTGGAAATAGCGTGGAAGGACCCTATGGCTATAGCATCACTGAACAAGTCTACGGGTTCACCACCAATGGAAGCAGAAATAACATCAACACCATCACTTATTGCAGCATCAAACCCTGCTAATATATCAGCATCAAAGCAGCCTCCAGCCACTTGACCCTGAGCAGGAGGCCAGCAAACCTTGTAGGCTGCAACTCTTGCCTTTGGAGATCCACCTTTAGCCGTACCGGTTCCAACACCCAAGACATTAGCTCCTTCAACGAAGTTTCCACCAGCAGTTGATAAAGTGTGAGAGCCATGGCCTTCAACGTCACGTGTAGTGTACCAAGAGGCATTCTGTTTGCCGGCAAATGCCTCAAAGCCTTTGATGAAGAATCTTCCTCCTATCAGTTTCCTGTACATGGAAGAACAGTTAGAGATAGAGAATTAATCGTAGCTCATGGTTTTGCTTGATTGAAAGCGAAAATCAGTGAACTCGGGTGTTTGAGCAATGGTTGGAAATGAAAATTTTCATCCAGAGGATTGACCTGTTACAGAGAGATTTTTTTGAACGAAGATCTCCAAATTGGCATTGTCCACGCCATTTTGATGGTATAGGCCCCATTCCTTCATCGCTGAAGCTCTTGGATTCCGGCCAAACGCCTATTCAAGAAGAAGATGATGCATAATAAAACTGTCAATCAGTTATAGTAAATGACAACGGGAAAACCTCCGTAGGATGAGAAGTAATCATGTTTGAACTCATCATATATCACATAGAAATAAAAAATGTGAAATGAAACCGAAGTAGGTGATTATATAAAAAATACTGTCCAATTAAATCATATCCTTTTAGAACTTGCAAAACCAGAAATAAAATTCTAAGCAAGCACAAGAATAAACAGGGAAAAGCCAGAGGAAAGGATGGATGCTGAGAAACTAGTTTCCCAGAAAACCCATAAATCATTTAGAATTCTTCAAAGAAAGACACAATACAGGGTTGAATTTTGAATATGAGGCTAAGTAAAAAACCTGTGTCAAGGTTAGCAATGATTGTATCTTCCCCATACTTCGCCTTAGCCCAAGAAGAATCATTATTGAGTTTTCCTTGAGAAGACTCCAGCCCAAGAAACTCCCATGATCGTGTTGTGTGCAGTTCCCGCCTCCTGTTCAAGAACACAGACATCACATTTGGATTCTCTGCACCAACAAAAACACCATACAATGAATAAATCAGTAATCTTTAACGTTAAATGATGAGAAAAACAGAGCAAAACTAAGAATGTCATTGAGGAATTATCCTTCCTACGTGCAAGCTTGTATGCTTCTTCCTCTTCAAGTTGAGCAGCAAAGCCATTAATATTTCTATTGTAAGAATAAATTATTGCTTGTTGTGCTCTGTCAAGGCTGCAAAAGGTCATAACTTTAACATGTCAGTTTCTTTCTTATAGCATTTACCATATGGGTTCATTGAAACTTTCAAATTCTATTTACCTTCCCAAGAGTGATCCCAATATATTGTAATGAGAAGTTGTGGCTGAATCAAGGTCAGCAGCAGTAGGATTTGGGCCATGGGAATGTGACCCTAAGTACACAACGTAAGACTGCAAGAGGAAGAGCACACATATATTAAGCCCTTCACAAGAATATATCAATCATCATTCATCAATATTTAGCAAAGTATGAAACCTTTTAATTTATAATCTGACACTACTTATTTGATCATGTTACCGCATGCTTTCTTGATGTTAAAGAAAAATATTACAATCAACGCTCCATTGTTAAAGGAAATAGAACTCAAGAACATTCTCTTAAATGCCAACTAGATCAAAGAGATAGAAGAAAAACACTAAAACTCCATTCGTAATTCAATTTGAGAGAGAGAGAGTTTAAAGAAATGAAAGAAAAGAGAAGTGCTTACGTTCTTAATGGCATGGATAGGTTGGAGACAGAAAGTGGACAGAAGAAACACTGATAGAAGAAACTGAATAATGGAGGATTTCGCCATTGTTTTCTTCATCCAAGATGAGATTATGCTTCAAAACTGCAAGGCAATGAGGCTCTGTTTTCCTCTCTGGCTTTTTATAAACTTCACTGCACAGAAACTAATAACGAAAGATTATATTAACGGAATTTCAAGATCAGATTCAGTGCAGTTAATTTGGCTTAATCATAAGAAACTTGTTTCTAAATTTAGTTCGCAGGAGGAGATATTAACCTTTCAAAAATCTCTTGAGATCCTCGCATTAATGGCTAAAACTTGCCAAAATAATGTTTGACATGCACACACACGTAGAATCCAGTCATGATTATGCTTATACTTTTATCTTTATATGCAATACGTTTAATCTCAGAAAGCACTAAAGATGGAATCTTGATTCTTTGTTTCTTGCCAAAGATTGAATTTTGGTACGTAGTCTGTTTTTTTTTTTTTCTTTTTTAATGTATCCATTTAATTTCAGTAATTAATTTGAATTTTCCGGTTAACAATAGCAGATTCTTTGGAGTCTGGTTTGAACTAGATTTGTGGCGTTTCTTTTGATATCAGTATTTTATTATTTTATTTTAATTTAATTTAATAAGTTTTATTTGCATCCAAGATATTTCTTTCCATAAATTTTAAATTTCGTAAATTTTTTAATTTTTTGTCTGATGTATAGTTACTCGGGGAACGATTATAAAGGAGAAACTTATGATACTTGAGTGAACAAGTTTATATGCATGGTCAGAAAAAAAAAAATAGTCCGATTGAACCGCTTAATTATTCCTTTGTCCAAAAAAATTAATTATTTGTGATTTGAAATTTTTTTTTGTGTATAAAAAAGTTTTATTGTTTTTTTTTTTAAAGTTTCAAAGTTGACAAATTACGCAAACGAGGGATTCGGATCTTCATCACATAAATTCAATTTTCCAAAAAAGAAAGTTGTGTCGTATATTGGAAACTAAGAATTGGGCAAGCGAAAAAACTGTGAATGTCATTAAAGACTACATTTAGGAGTAAAGACATAAATTGGTGGTCTCATGAACAAATATAATTTTAATTTGAAAATTGAATTAGTCAAGAAAAAAATTTTGTTCTTTTATGCAGTGATAATTACGAATGTTATTTTAATTAAAAAAAGAAAATGGGAACGAGATTAAAGATTTCAATTGAGAGCAAAATCTATCTCCCATTTCTCTTGTAGTTTCTAAGTGCTCCTTCAATCATAAAAAGATTTTGAGATCTTAATTATCAAACAGAGTGTTTTTAATCCTAAATTCAGAGAAAATAAATGTTGAGTCAAAAAAATTAAGACTCTAGGACGTATTTTTGTAAGTCCTATCCCAAAAAATATTATAACATTATAGTGCATAATATGCTAACTACCTAAATCATAACATATTGAAATACAAACTTTCAAATTACAAGATACTCCAACAGAAACAAACGAATTCAAGTAACAATTTTATTTATAAAATTATAACTTCTATTTTATTTGTTTTTGTTTCATTTTAATTTATGCATCAAACCGCTCCGAAATCAAGAAATCAATCAGCATGCAGTAGTTTCTAATTTTAAAAAAAAATCATGATTTTTCTGGCCAACGAGCTTAATAACCCTCTAGACTATTCTTGTATATGCTTCACTACAATAGGACTCTTAACTTTATGCTTGCCATCTGACCACCACATCTCTCCAAATACATAATCGGAAAAGCCATCTTCTCCAATCCATTTCAAGATAACTTTGAACGTCTTCTTCTCACCGGCTTTCTCAAATATCAGCAGACTTGGCTCAACCAACACACCAACTCCATGAGGAGCCTTCACATGGACACTGTAAGCACCTGGCTCTCCCACATTTGTGAGTGATCTAGTAACAGTTACAGATTGGTTTCCAAGATTAGGCACAGAGATTGAAGGGTAGTTAAAATCTGCAATGCTGAAAGATCCTGGGCAAGTATAAGGGCTCTTGGAAAATAACATGATTTGGGTTTGGTTGTAACCATGAGCACATAAGAAGTTCAAGTAATCATCAGTATTCAGATCATAAACAAGTCCTGGGTCCATTGCAAGGTCCTTGGATGTGCCCTGCACCATAAGCAAATGGGTTTGCTTCTTGCTTGGACTGTTCCAGAATCGGTTTGTTGTTGTTATCAAGCGTCATTGCTGAAAATGTGGAGATTTGAAGAGTTAGGAAACTAAATAAACAAGTGGCATACTGTATAACAACAAATCCGTAATATGCTAAAATTTATGCAGAAAGATTCTTGGGATGATACAGAATCAATGATCATTAAAAAAAAAAACTAGGCTCCGAGCTTATAAGAAGTAGATGCTGCTAGAAAGTGTGCAAATGGAAACTGCATATGCATACCAGTAGTCATGATTGCTGATCTGATACCAGCAGGACTCCAATGACGATAGGCTGTTTTGAGAAGGCCAACAATGCCTGAAACATGAGGGCATGATATTGAGGTTCCTGACCCTATATTAAATAAGAACCGACGTTTATCGGAATCAACACCAGTCACAGTTAGGCCATCTGGTTATGCATAAAGAATGTCCACTCCTGGTGCAGTGACATCAGGCTGAAATAGGTAACAAAATCTGTTAACTGCAAAGTCATCTCGGAAACTAAATGTATTTGAATGTATTAACTTGCTAACTTGACTACTAAACAAAAGCAAGACCTTGAGAATCCCCGGCTGGATGATACTAGGTCCCCTAGATGAGAGCGAAGCCATTACAGGAGCTGGTTTAATTCCTACTCGTGTTTTTGCTCTTGTCATATAAGCCCTAGGGGCCCTGCATTACAGACATAGTATTAGATTATGACATGCTAGAACTATCTTGGGAACTGAAACAATACAAAACGATTTGGAATTTTAAGAGAAATATAATTACTTGGCGAGTTTTGCGTAGGAATAAACATATTCACCATCAGTGAAATTGATGTGTGAAGCAGGCAGCAAATGGACAATAGCATAATATCATTTCCCCGTTTTTCATCATTGGCCAAAATCAGTCCTACAGCTCCTGCAAGTATGGCCCCTTGCTCTGCTAAAACTATTCCTATTGAGCTGTTTACGAGGCAAACAAGAATTTTACCCTCAGCCTTCTCGGGATCAAGGCTTCCAGCATTGTACAGTTGACTGCCAGAAATCACGATTTATGTTAGCATCCTTAGAAACACAGAGATGGGAAGGAAAGAGAAAATGATACAATTCATATTATAACATTTTTACTCACGCATCCTCAACTGTGGCATTAGCAGCTTTAGCATCAATAGAATTGATCAGAGGATAGAACTTCTCGGATGGTAAGCCTGTAGAAAGACTAGCTCCCTGGCAGCTCAAATTCATATAAAGCAATGAGTACATACTATAATTTTTTATCTTGAATTTAGCAAAAGTGGATGTTGCAATTTGAAGTTAAACAACCCACAGCTAACCTAGGATGAATTTGGATGGTGAATTTAGAAATTCATGGAATTCAACTGCTGGAAACAACTCCATGATTAAACAACTTAGGAAGTGTTTGGTAAAATAGAAAAGTGCTTCTCAAAAGCACTTTTCCATAAAACGAGACAGACTCCTCCACGTATTTACTTCGTATACCGTAAAAACACTTTTAAAACCATAGTTTGACTTCCATCCAAACACCCCCTTAGTCTGTTGATTGATGATCAACACACGATCTTCAAAATTATTTCTCCTTAAAAAGTACTTCATCCAAACACAAGCTAAGCCACAATGAAGCAAGAAGATGGTTTTAACCGAGAACAAAAAGAATAAGAAAAGATGCGATCTAATAATACTTGGCAATAAAAAATTGACAAGTACGGTATTTAACTTCAAAACAACTGATATGAATCATGATACCATTATATGCTTCTAGTCACCAAGAACAACGTAATTGGCGAAGTCTCTGTCTATTGAGCTAGCAGCAACAGCGAACATCCATGGAGCCACGTTGATAATGATCTTTACTTGGATGCCTCGTGAACAACCTTAGCAGCCTTTTCTCGCAGAGCAGTACTACCAACAGTAGAAAGAGTCGCTCCGGCAAGCAAAAAAGTAGGGTCAGAATCCTCGGCCATTCCATTCCTGGAGGTGGGATAATGAATGGATAATAATGAATCTCTTTTTCCTTGCCGGAGCGCAGCGCTCCCTTCTTGTTATCTCTTGAAAAGCCAAACGGTGCGTAGCGCTCCCTTCTTGTAAAGCCGTTATGGGGCGTGGCGCCAAGTTCTTAAGCCAGCGTAGAGTGAGTTTTTTTCCTCATTTTCAAAATGCCCGGGAACGGCTCTGTCCCTCTTCCCTCTCCGCGCTCTGCACCTGAACAGCCTGAACAGCTTCCTGAAGACCTTCCTCCCGTTGTTCCTCAAGAGTTTCTTGATTTTGACCAGCTTGAAGACCTTCCTCTTGTAAGACCCTTAACCTCAAAACATTATAACTCATCACAAAATCACTACTATGGTAGAAAAGGAAATCTGTGAAATGAACTATCATAGTAGGAAGAAATTTGCATAATTTTGAATTAACATTTAAACTCGGTTCCAACTCAAAGTCCGTTGCATGCAACTGAAATCATTCATTTACATCTACTGGGCTTCCGAGCCTCCGGCCCGGGTAACAACAGACATCACATCAGCCCATCTAAATGATTCCCAACAAAATAATCCAGAGTTTCATAAGACACTAGCAATGGCCTCCGGCCAACCAAAATAAGGAGATACATTCTCTCCGGTTTACAACAAGGCCGGGTAATCAAATATTTCAAAAAGCAGTCCTAAATGTGGCAATATATACTAGCCATACATATACAAAGGCTAGAGGCCTAAAGCTAACCAAGCTCAAGCCTCTGTGTCTCTTCCCGATGGCCCACGCCCAGAACCTTCACCTGAAAACATTGTTAACCACGGGGTGAGACGGAGTCCCAGTAACCAACCTTTTCAATTCAAGGTACTACTAAATAGGTGCTCGTGAGGTGTCAAGTGGGGCAGTTCACAAGTAATATGATAACAAGATAGCCACAACAAGTTATGCAAGTACAATGATGCAATCCCATCAACCAAATCCCTCACTTTAGGAGATTTTCAGGAGCCGAAACCGGCCTATCCCTCACTATGGGGGACGTAAGGAGCCATAAAAGGCCTATCCCTTCACTCTGGGGGACGTAAGGAGCCAAAAGGCCTATCCCTCACTATGGGGGACGTACTGAGCCATCCATCATGCATTAATGGAGCCTTACCATGTGGTAGTAACTATCAAAAACTCTCACCAATTCTCAATTCATGCATCATACTCAAATCATAATCAAATAGTAATTGAACATTTTATAAGTAATTTCATTCAGTGGCATATCCTTCACAATTTCAAGATTCATTCATCATCAATCGAAACCCCACAAGACGGTTTTCCTTTTTATATACAACATACAGTTTGAACATAATTACTACTTGGAGCACAAAACATAAATCTACTCACAATACCACAGAAGCAAGTACTAAGGATTGGAAAGTGGTTACCTCTCGCTTGAGCAAGGAATAACAAACCAACAATGTGGCCCTGTGCACCAACAAGACTCGCAATCGGTCTACACAAGCACACAAACACACAACCATCATGTATTAGCTTTCAAACTAATAATGTGGCCAAAACAACATTTGAGGACACAAAATTCCTAGCTTCAAAAACTCAATGTTCTTCAAATCCAAGGAAACTACACCGATTAAAAAGTTAGACTAACCCAAAGCAATCAATTAAACTCAAAACAATCGGTCAAAAACCTCAGTTCCATCACAACCTAGAAAATCCTAGGGTTCCACCAAAAATCCTCAGAAATTCCAAGAAAGAAAGTAGATTAGAAGTTAAAATCACTTACTTAAGGTAATGGATACTTAAAAATGTCTTTCCCAAGCCTCAACACCGAAACCCTAGCAGAGCTCCTTTCTCCTCCTTTAGATTTTCTAATTTTCGCACAACTGAACCCTCCAGCGTCTATATAGATTCGACACCTTTCGCCGCGGCAAAAGCTTCCCGAAAAGAAACTCTCACTCGCCTAGAAAAACTTCGCCGCGGCATGCCCTCACCTTCGCCGCGACGAAACCTTCTCGAAATGATACTCTCCCTTGGAACTCCCGGTGTGCCGCGGCGAACATACCCTGAGAGGGGTACGTTCACCTATTCCTCCAACATACCTCAAATCCAACCTAAACACCAAGATCAAGATTAAATCACTAATATATCCTCAAAATCAACCAAAAGAGGCTATTAAAACCTGATAAAACTCAAGATGTTACACCTCCTGCTGTTCCTCAAGAGTTTCTTGATTTTGACCAGCTTGAAGACCTTCCTCCCGCTTTTCCTCAACAGTTTCTTGATTTTGACCAGCTTCTTCCTCCCGCTGTTCCTCAACCATTTTATGATTTTGAACAGTTTCCCGAAGACCTTCCTCCCGCTGTTCCTCAACCGTTTCCCGACTTTGAACAGCTTCCTGATCCTAATCACCTTCCTGATTACCTTCTAGGGGACTTTCCTCCCTTCATAGTTGCTGAAGAACTAGCGGGCTTTCAACAGTTAGTCGATGAATCGAATTACGAGATCGCCTTCCGTCAAGCCTTAGTGGTCAACGATTTAGACGTAGTGAACTAGTTATTCGATAAGGTAAGACGTTCAGCTAAATGCATATTGAATTTATCGGTAGCTCTGTTACATTTTCTGCTAAAAAGCATATGGTATTAATTATAGGAAAATCCTACATTTTCTGCTATGTATATAGAATTAAGGTTGGTCACAGTTTCTGCTGTAATTAGATATATGAACCTCTCTCTGGCCTTCCGTCAAGCTTTAGATATCAACGGTTTAGGATTAGTGCTCTGTGATAGGGTAAATGAATTTAGTACATGAAAGTCGGTCCTCATCGGTAGGTTGTTACATTTTCTGCTAAAAAGCATATGGTATTAATTACACCAAAATCCTGATCGTCTGTTACGTTTTCTGTCAAATTTATATAGAATTAAGGTCTGTTTCTGCTAAAACTATGTGTAATTAGCTATATGAACCTCTCTCTCTAGCCTTCCGTCAAGCTTTAGCTATCAACCATTTAGGATTAATGCTCTGTGATAGGGTAAGACGTTCTGCTAAATGCACATTGAATTTTGTGCATGAAAGTCGGTCCCCATCGGTAGCTCTGTTACATTTTCTGCTAAAAAGCATTTGGTATCAGCCCTTTATACTTCAGCATACGCATTTAATTCCCTTGCACAGGTACTGTAAATTATGATTCTGTATGAGTATAAATTTACTGATATAATCACGTTGACTCCGTTGCTTGCATGCAATACACTCGGATTTTTGGGGGCTGCTGAACTCATCTTTATAAAACTTCATAAGCTCCTTGAGTGGTACTGTTACAACATGAGTATCATTTAGTACTTATCAATGGGTCTAGGCCAAAAGCTTAAGCATGACACAAGTTCATAAGCATATGAAAAGGATCTTAAATTTAATTTAGTATTCATGTTTCTTAAGTCACATAAGATAGAAATAATAATTATTACTATTGCTGATAGAGCTATGGATCAAATATGGTATGATTTGTATATATTAGGATATCCCAAAAATTATTGAATATAAAGCTGATAGAGTAATCATGTCTGTTGCGTTATGGTTTGGAGGTAGCTATTTAGATGTTGTGCATTTAGTTCCCAATGTTACATGTTCATTTTATTTAAGATTTAGAAGTATATGTCGCTATGTTGTCCGTGTATTTTGTTCCTTTATTAATGAATGATCATTATGGTCGAATATTATTGTCATTCATTATTTGCTATACAATTTGTATATAATTATAATTATTGACAAAAAAATTATGGCCAAAACTATACACGTAAACGTTGCTATATTTTAGAAAAGTAGCTTCATAACAATACATTAAATAATTATATGCAATTATGACCCTCAAGATATCCTGTTATATAAGGATCCATGGTTTGGTGAAATATTAGACTAGAGAATTAAAATTAATAAAGTGAGGGACATCTTTTTGCTCACCCTCAACCTCTATATTTAGCTATGTATGAAACCCATGTATAGTTTAAAAGGAATGGTTTGGACGAGGCAAAAAATCCAAGTGCAGCGATAAGAAGCCACTGAATAAACAGATTTCAATACTTAAAGGTTGAAATTGTTTCTTATTTCAAGTTTATGTTATGTTTGTCCAGTTGATACAAACTCTGAAGATAAAAAATGAAAGGAGATATGTGTGTTGTGTGAGTTGTGTAATATGAGAGGATGAAATAAAGACAAGAGAAAAGGCATAGATTTAATCGAAGCTCCACATTTATACAGAGAGGAAAGAAGGGGGTGGACACTTAGTCATAAGTGTCTGACGAAGAGGACATGGAGAAAATTTGATTTGTTTCCTTCCTCCTTAAATATAATTCTCCCTTTCTGAATTTTAATATAAAAGTTTCAAAACTACATTTTTTGGCCAGAAGTTTAAAAATTAATTTAGATAATTGATGTTTTATTGTTTGATACAATTAAGTATTAAATTGAAAGTGAATGCTCCCCGTGCAACGCACGGGGAAGCACAATCTAGGTAATTATATGAACCTCTCTGGGGCAATGTCACTGGATTTTCTGATCTTCAATTTCCCCTGATCTTATGTAATTGTTCCTGTGCCCTCTTTTTTTTTTAGCCCCGCTAAGCTCATCCTTAACATCCTGTGTGTGTCATGTCAACAGTCAATTCCTGCGGCACTGTCCATGAACCCGCTGCCCCTCACGCAGGAAGTCCTGATCAAGACAGTGGCGGCGCTCATTTCAGGTTTCGCCAGTGACACATGTAAAAAAGTCTCCCACCTGGCGCACCTTGTTGCCGCGATGGATCCTATGGATGATGGATCCATCTGTGGGGGAGCGTATCAGGCCTGTGCTTGGGAGTTTATACACCACATGTTGCGCCCCAAATTGGGACTGGACTCTCAGGAGCGGGCTGCGCGTCCTGATGCACCTTGTGAGGGAGGTGCTCAATAGGTGCCCGTAAGAGTGAAGAATTGAATATCAGGATTTTGGAGACAAGTAATCTCGTACAAATTCGGCAATTACAGTTTTATCAACCAAGTTTTATATGGTCGCTGAACAGTTTTATTCTGTTTGCTTAGTGATTTGGAGACGATGAAAGGAGCTTTCAGAGAGCAGAAGTGATCGTGTTTTTCATGACTTTTTACTACGAGTGATTTTTCCTGAAAAATTGCTCATGTAAAAGTAATTTTTAAAATTAAAAGATATTCAATTTCTTCTTTTTTTATTTTTAATGCCTTTTCAAATTAAAAATAAGTTTTAACAAAAATTTTATAATATTTTTAATATTACTTTTCATTCATAGCATTTAGTTCAATGTCAGATTATCAATTTGAAGATGATACTTTTAAATGTTTGATTATCACAAGAATATATCAATCATCATTCACCAATATTTAGCAAAGTATGGAACCTTTTAAATTATAATCTGACACTACTTATTTGATCATGTTACAGCATGCTTTCTTGATGTTAGAGAAAAATATTACGACCGACGCTTAACTGTTAAAAGAAATAGAACTCAAGAACATTCTCTTAAATGCCAACTAGATCAAAGAGATAGAAGAAAAACACTAAAACTCCATTCGTAATTCAATTTGAGAGCGAGAGAGAGTTCAAAGAAATGAAAGAAAAGAACAGAACAGAAAAGAGAAGTGCTTACGTTCTTAATGGCATTGATAGGTTGGAGACAGAAAGTGGACAGAAGAAACACTGATAGAAGAAACTGAATAATGGAGGATTTCGCCATTGTTTTCTTCCCTCCAAGATGAGATTATGCTTCAAAACTGCAAGGCAATGAGGCTCTGTTTTCCTCTCTGGCTTTTTATAAACTTCACTGCACAGAAACTAATAACGAAAGATTATATTAACGGAATTTCAAGATCAGATTCAGTGCAGTTAATTTGGCTTAATCATAAGAAACTTGTTTCTAAATTTAGTTCGCAGGAGGAGATATTAACCTTTCAAAAATCTCTCGAGATCCTCGCATTAATGGCTAAAACTTGCCAAAATAATGTTTGACATGCACACACACGTAGAATCCAGTCATGATTATGCTTATACTTTTATCTTTATGCAATACGTTTAATCTCAGAAAGCACTAAAGATGGAATCTTGATTCTTTGTTTCTTGCCAAAGATTGAATTTTGGTACGTAGTCTGTTTTTTTTTTTCTTTTTTAATGTATCCATTTAATTTCAGTAATTAATTTGAATTTTCCGGTTAACAATAGCAGATTCTTTGGAGTCTGGTTTGAACTAGATTTGTGGCGTTTCTTTTGATATCAGTATTTTATTATTTTATTTTATTTTAATTTAATAAGTTTTATTTGCATCCAAGATATTTCTTTCCATAAATTTTAAATTTCGTAAATTTTTTAATTTTTTGTCTGATGTATAGTTACTCGGGGAACGATTATAAAGGAGAAACTTATGATACTTGAGTGAACAAGTTTATATGCATGGTCAGAAAAAAAAAATAGTCCGATTGAACCGCTTAATTATTCCTTTGTCCAAAAAAATTAATTATTTGTGATTTGAAATTTTTTTTTGTGTATAAAAAAGTTTTATTGTTTTTTTTTTTAAGTTTCAAAGTTGACAAATTACGCAAACGAGGGATTCGGATCTTCATCACATAAATTCAATTTTCCAAAAAAGAAAGTTGTGTCGTATATTGGAAACTAAGAATTGGGCAAGCGAAAAAACTGTGAATGTCATTAAAGACTACATTTAGGAGTAAAGAAATAAATTGGTGGTCTCATGAACAAATATAATTTTAATTTGAAAATTGAATTAGTCAAGAAAAAAATTTTGTTCTTTTATGCATTGATAATTACGAATGTTATTTTAATTAAAAAAAGAAAATGGGAACGAGATTAAAGATTTCAATTGAGAGCAAAATCTATCTCCCATTTCTCTTGTAGTTTCTAAGTGCTCCTTCAATCATAAAAAGATTTTGAGATCTTAATTATCAAACAGAGTGTTTTTAATCCTAAATTCAGAGAAAATAAATGTTGAGTCAAAAAAATTAAGACTCTAGGACGTATTTTTGTAAGTCCTATCCCAAAAAATATTATAACATTATAGTGCATAATATGCTAACTACCTAAATCATAACATATTGAAATACAAACTTTCAAATTACAAGATACTCCAACAGAAACAAACGAATTCAAGTAACAATTTTATTTATAAAATTATAACTTCTATTTTATTTGTTTTTGTTTCATTTTAATTTATGCATCAAACCGCTCCGAAATCAAGAAATCAATCAGCATGCAGTAGTTTCTAATTTTAAAAAAAAATCATGATTTTTCTGGCCAACAAGTTTAATAACCCTCTAGACTATTCCTGTATATGCTTCACTACAATAGGACTCTTAACTTTATGCTTGCCATCTGACCACCACATCTCTCCAAATACATAATCGGAAAAGCCATCTTCTCCAATCCATTTCAAGATAACTTTGAACGTCTTCTTCTCACTGGTTTTCTCAAATATCAGCAGACTTGGCTCAACCAACACACCAACTCCATGAGGAGCCTTCACATGGACACTGTAAGCACCTGGCTCTCCCACATTTGTGAGTGATCTAGTAACAGTTACAGATTGGTTTCCAAGATTAGGCACAGAGATTGAAGGGTAGTTAAAATCTGCAATGCTGAAAGATCCTGGGCAAGTATAAGGGCTCTTGGAAAATAACATGATTTGGGTTTGGTTGTAACCATGAGCACATAAGAAGTTCAAGTAATCATCAGTATTCAGATCATAAACAAGTCCTGGGTCCATTGCAAGGTCCGGTTGGATGTGCCCTGCACCATAAGCAAATGGGTTTGCTTCTTGCTTGGACTGTTCCAGAATCGGTTTGTTGTTGTTATCAAGCGTCATTGCTGAAAATGTGGAGATTTGAAGAGTTAGGAAACTAAATAAACAAGCGGCATACTGTATAACAACAAATCCGTAATATGCTAAAATTTATGCAGAAAGATTCTTGGGATGATACAGAATCAACTGATCATTAAAAAAAAAAAACTAGGCTCCGAGCTTATAAGAAGTAGATGCTGCTAGAAAGTGTGCAAATGGGTTTATCTTAAGAAGTTTGAATTTAAAAGACTTGGAAACTGCATATGCATACCAGTAGTCATGATTGCTGATCTGATAGCAGCAGGACTCCAATGACGATAGGCTGTTTTGAGAAGGCCAACAATGCCTGAAACATGAGGGCATGATATTGAGGTTCCTGACCCTATATTAAATAAAAACTGACGTTTATCGGAATCAACACCAGTCACAGTTAGGCCATCTGGGTATGCATAAAGAATGTCCACTCCTGGTGCAGTGACATCAGGCTGAAATAGGTAACAAAATCTGTTAACTGCAAAGTCATCTCGGAAACTAAATGTATTTGAATGTATTAACTTGCTAACTTGACCACTAAACAAAAGCAAGACCTTGAGAATCCCCGGTTGGATGATACTAGGTCCCCTAGATGAGAGCGAAGCCATTACAGGAGCTGGTTTAATTCCTACTCGTGTTTTTGCTCTTGTCATATAAGCCCTAGGGGCCCTGCATTACAGACATAGTATTAGATTATGACATGCTAGAACTATCTTGGGAACTGAAACAATACAAAACGATTTGGAGTTTTAAGAGAAATATAATTACTTGGCGAGTTTTGCGTAGGAATAAACATATTCACCATCAGTGAAATTGATGTGTGAAGCAGGCAGCAAATGGACAATAGCCATAATATCATTTCCCCGTTTTTCATCATTGGCCAAAATCAATCCTACAGCTCCTGCAAGTACGGCCCCTTGCTCTGCGAAAACTATTCCTATTGGGCTGTTTACGAGGCAAACAAGAATTTTACCCTCAGCCTTCTTGGGATCAAGGCTTCCAGCATTGCACAGTTGACTGCCAGAAATCATGATCTATGTTAGCATCCTTAGAAACACAGAGATGGGAAGGAAAGAGAAAATGATACAATTCATATTATAACATTTTTACTCACGCATCCTCAACTGTGGCATTAGCAGCTTTAGCATCAATAGAATTGATCAGAGGATAGAACTTCTCGGATGGTAAGCCTGTAGAAAGACTAGCTCCCTGGCAGCTCAAATTCATATAAAGCAATGAGTACATACTATAATTTTTTATCTTGAATTTAGCAAAAGTGGATGTTGCAATTTGAAGTTAAACAACCCACAGCTAACCTAGGATGAATTTGGATGGTGAATTTAGAAATTCATGGAATTCAACTGCCGGAAACAACTCCATGATTAAACAACTTAGGAAGTCCGTTGATTAATAATCAACACACGATCTTCAAAATCATTTCCTTAAAAAGTACTTCATCCAAACACAAACTAAGCCACAATGAAGCAAGAAGATGGTTTTAACCGAGAACAAAAAGAATAAGAAAAGATGCGATCTAATACTTGGCAATAAAAAATTGACAAGTACGGTATTTAACTTCAAAATGAATCATGATACCATTATATGCTTCTGGTCACCAAGAACAACGTAATTGGCGAAGTCTCTGTCTATTGAGCTAGCAGCAACAGTGAACATCCATGGAGCCACGTTGGTTACAGTTCCGAAACCTGGTCCTTCATTCCCTGCACCGGCGACGACCATGACGCCATTGGCGATGGCGTGAAAGGCTCCAATGGAAAACCCATCTTGGAAAAACTCTGGTGGAACAGGCTTCCCCAAGGAGAAGGAGATCACATCAACACCGTCGCTAATCGCAGCGTCGAAGGCGTCCATGACGTCAGCATCGGTACATTGGATTCCGGTGACAGAGAGCCAGCAGACCTTGTAGGCGGCGACGCGGGCTCGGGGGGACCCACCCTTGGCGGTGCCATTGCCGAAGCCAAGAACGTTTGCGCCACGAGCGAAGTTACCTCCGGCGACGGAGAGAGTAGGAGTGCCATGGCCTAACTCGTCGCGCGCTGTGTAGAGCGATTCGTTGAGTTTGCCAAACTGGGACTCGTAACCGTTACTGAAGAATCGTGCTCCAATCAACTTTCTGCATTTCAAACATAAATAATCAAATTTCGTCCGCGAAAAACATAAAATTATCTTTGTGGAAGTAAAACGCTAAAATTCAAACAAAAGACCCAGATGTAACTGAAAATATAAGGAATTCACGCATATGCTCTTGGCCGACCAGTTGTCGGAGACCGATAGCGGTGGCCGTCTGGTCGTCGGAAACTTGCCGCCGATGACTAGCAGATTGTCGAAGATATTTCATCAATGATTATCTATTAACTAGCGTTAAAGTCAAACTCGTTGTGCTTTTGTTGAAAACGAAGGAAAATAATGCAAAGAGGACGGACCTATTGCAACGAAAATTGTCAAGTTGGCATGCACCTCGCCACCTTGAAGGGATTGGTCCCATTCCTTCGTCGCTAAAGCTCCTCGATTCAGGCCATACACCTACATGATCATTCTTATTATTAGTTCATTCATATATTATAAGGATCAAATCAAACCTATTATGATTACGAAAACTCACCAGTATCGATGTTACCAATGATGGTATCTTCTCCATATCTAGCCTTCTCCCAGATTGAGTCTTCCAAAACTTGCCCATTACTGTTCTCTAATCCCAGAAATTCCCAGGACCGTGTGGTTTGAAGTTTGTGGCCTCTGTTCATAAACACTGACACTACTTTTGGATTTTCTTCCAAAATCATCACACACAACAACATGTCAATTACTGGGATTTCATTCTCAGTGTGAGAAAAAAGAGCAAAGCAGAGTTGATATATTAATTCTCTTACTTGCAATATCTGCTGCTTCCTCCTCCTCGAACAACGCAGCAAAACCATTGATATGTCTGTTATATGAATAAAATATCGCTTCTTTCGCCTTCTTGCGGCTGCCAATGAATATTTACGTTCAAATGATCAGCTTTTGTTTTACCTTCTCTTCTACAGGGTTAAGCTTTTTTAGTTTTTATCTACTGGAATGTAAAAGTTCATTTGAAAATTTCACGGAGTTCATTAGATTCTATACCTTCCCAAGTGTGAAGCTAGTAGGCTGTAATGAAAACTGGTGGCAGAATCTTGATCATTAGCAGAAGGGTTTGGGTCATGCGAATGTGATCCTAAGTATACAACGTAAGACTGCCACACACAACAAGATTCAAACAGCTGACATGCATTTTCAGAATCCAAATGCGTGTACTGAAATTGAAACTAAGAATAGAAACTCTTGTCTATTCAGAACAACAAATCCAGAATCTCAAATGAGCAAGAAGAAAAAGTGGAGCTTGCCTTTTTAATGGCGTGAACTGGCTGGTATTGCAGGAGGACGCAGGAAAGAAGAAGGATTGATGATAGAAGAAAGTGGAAAACAGATAAACCCGTCATATTATATTTCTTCAATGAGTTTTTGATTCTGGAATTGTGTTTGAAGAATTTGGTGCGTAGAGGGGCTCCTTTTTTTCCCCTGCTTATATAAGTTGATTTTCATTGATAGCTTTTACTTTTCAATGTTTTGATGGTATTATGGGATGGGGATAATCTCATCTCAGAAGGAGCTTCATTTTTGTTGGAGAAAGGAAAGATTTTTCAACAAGAACCAAGTGGTTTGAATTCAACGGGAAAATCAGAAAGAAAAGTATTCAAGTACCTTATGTTGTAATACTACGTGGCCAAAAGATTATGCAGAAATTTTTTAAATAAATCTTCGAAAAACCTAGTTAAGATATATTACTTACTGTCCCTAATATAAGACCTCATTTGACTTTTATTTTGGTCTTAATTATTAGACCTCAATCCACTTTGTCTATTATATTTAAGCATTTTTTTTCAAGGTAGTCCCTCTAATAATAGTAGTTATAACTAATAAACTTGGTTAATAAGGATATTTTAGAAAAGACAACACTTATTTATTACAAATAACTAACTTAACTTATTTTATTAATCTCTTTAAATTAATCAACTAGCTCTTATAATTAGAACAAGAGGTAGTATCTTATATTAGGACATTTAGTGGCAGACATGAACAAAAATCTGACTTCTGCTCAATAGAAACAAAAGAAAATTCTGACTTTTACTTCGGAAAATTATTAGTCTAAAAGGATAAAAGTTTGGAAAAATCTATAAAAGAGGGCACAATACAATCTTGAAGGGTTAGCTTGGACATGTTTAATTCCAGTGCTGGGATATATCCACGTCAAAGTAGCCATCGAAATTGAATAGTGGACTTTTTTTCCCCCCTCAAAATTTTGATTTTTTTTTTGGGATAAAGAAAACTTATGTCTGAAATCATCTAAGAAAAAAGCTCTATACTCACGAGAAATATTTGTAATGACAGAAAAATTTGAATCATTAATCAATCTTTTCTGCCAAGAAAACAGTACTTATATACAAAGAAGAAGTGAACAGTGTGGCAATTCTGAGAATAAGGAAGTTTTTTCAATTCACAAGATGTACATTTAAGATCCTATTCAAATTTTATCATGTCCTTTTTTTTCCCCCTTGGCATATTCCTCCGATCCTTCTCATATCTTATTAAAAAAGATTGCAAACAATACGTGTTCATTTTTTCAAGGAAAAAAATAACAACAAATTTTCATGCATTAATAAGTATCTTAAATTTTCTCATTAAACTTGGTCAATGAATATAAGAAACATGATTTAAGTTTTTTTTTTTTAAATAATTTTTACATAGTTTTATTTATTATAAGTTTTATAATAGGTTGATGATATTATATATTAATAAATGATTTCTTTTGTTGACCATCAATAACTTTTAGCAACCGTTAAAAGTGGAAAAGCCTCTGTTAAAAGTCCATGTTCTTCAACGAACAACAGGCTGGCTGGGTCATAGCGTCATACTCATCACAGCGAAGAGCAAAAAAGATGCTCGTAATATTCTTCTCAACGCATCAGTCACATTTCATAATGCTCCTTCCTGCCCCATTGCTTCCTCCCATTTCTTTCCCTCAAATCTCTCTGCAACTTCATGCCGTCTTCTGGCTACCACTTGGATGATTGCCCCCCAAACAGATTTTCACGTCAAAGGTGAGTTCCTTAGCTTTCTGGGCTCTGCTCCTGATCTTCTTATTCTAGAGTAGGCTATCTTCGCTGTTTGGTCGTAGTCTCCGATTTTATGTTTAATGATTTAGGTTTTGATGCTTAACTTCCGTGGAAGGAAAAGGACTCTGTGCATGGGGACCATTTAATCTGTAGTTTCCATGTCTACGTCGGAATGATCAATGATAGGCCGGTAATCCGCCATTTGCATTAACAAAGCTGTCTCTTATCATCTCTATAAATAAGTGTTCAATTGCTATTGGGGGACACTGGAGTTATCAATGTGTCTTGTGTCTCCCGTTAAATAGAGACCATCCCTTCTGCTTTATCTCTGTGGATCATCTTTTGCATATATTTGGGGATCGACTTATTTGTTCTAGAATGTCCCTTAATCCTTTTCTTTTCCCCTTTCTCTTTCATATGGAAGCCAATGCTGTCTTCCTACTGAACAGCACTATACTGCAAAAGTTTAAAAAAATAATTGTAGATTGTAGACTAACTTTTACTTAGCCTATCGTTTGGATCTTTTTATGTAATTGGACCACCCAATAGAGACTTCTGTATATTCATCTATGTTAAATTATAGACTTGGTCTTTACATTTTCACCGTGTTTTCAATTTGATTCCCAGAAGTATGAGTAGTTGAACCAAATGATCCTTAAAACAAGAGCCAAATATTAACTTAACGATGTTGTTTTTTTATGCCTTCTTGTTTTCAACATAACCGCTCAAGTAACGTGAGAGGATTCAAATCTATCAGTAATGGCCCCTACAAATTTGCTGTGTGATCTTTTCTGTTCATTAGTTTGGTTCTTTCCATGATTCGAAGAATAATTCAGGGTATTAGAATGATGAAACTTGGAAGGCACATATAACAAGTTACTTCAATCTTTGTCCTGCGTTATGAGAAATCCCAAGGTTTCTCTCTGCACATCAATCTCAAGAGTTTTCGCACGACCAAGTTTAAGATTCTGAACTCTATTGGATGTTAACAGATTGTTATAAGATCAGCAAGCTAAGGGTTTAGCCTATTATGTTGTCGTCCTTGATTGTATTCGCATGTTTACCCTCGTGTCTTGCTTTGGATTCTGTGAATCTTGTGCTCTTGATGAATCCTTTCATTAGAAAAAAAATGCCTTTGCCCTGCTCAATGGGGTGCAAACGATGAAGATTGGAATATTTTACAACTTTATTTAGATTTGATTTAGTTTTGCCTCAAGTTTAAGCTTTATATAGACTTGAAAATCATCATCTTACTTTGCCTTCTCCTGAATTCATAATTTGTGTCCGTTTCTTTTTCACTGCACATGTTGGAAAGGCAGTATCTTAATCTGCCACTAGACATGTGATATTGTTATGGACAATGGTATACTGGTTCTATATCTCCCACCATACAATCATCAAGTTGATCAGAAAGTTCTAAAGTGATATATTGTCAGAACCAATAGGGTTCCTGAAATCATTGCTGTTTTCCTTCACATATACATTTTTTCTTCCAGTCAAGAATGATTTGGTCTATATGCCAAGAGCATCAATAAATATGTACATTGAAATCACAACAATTTCCAATCTGAAGAAAAGAATAGCATTCCTGGAAACAAATCCTTCCAAAAAATAAAAAATAAAAATCCAAGCATCCCGTATGATGGGTTTGTTTGTTATAATACACCCTTTCTTCCTCTCCTTCTTTGCAATAGGAAGATCTTCAGAACCCTCTCCAGGCATTGAGAACTTCATGGAAGACTTCAGCAATCAGATCCCTATCTGCACCCTGCAGGAAGGAGTTGAAATCATCCCGGATGTCGAATATTTTCCCAAATTTTACAAGATACCGTAAGCAGCTACTCTTCAGTTTTGGTAATTGGTACAGGGATGCGTTTTGAAGCCTCTCAAGAACATTTCTGGTATCAATGTCTTCTACAAGGCTTTCATGGCATGCCTCTTTCAGGTCAGATATGTCATACTTGTCAGCAGCATGAAGAAGGACAAGCCTGTGTGTGAGAAATTCTTCAGTTCCTATGCTACCATAAAGATATTTGAGGAATGCCTGGCAAGCATCAATGGACATGTCTTCAATGTTTATTGTTGATAGCTCCTTCTCCTTAAGGTCATGTGAAAACATGCTGCGAAAGACAGGAGATCGAGCAGCAAGAACAGCGCGATGAGCTCCAATGCTTCCATCAGATGCATTGATCACTATGTCTGTGTGGATCCCTTCAATTAGCATCCGACTAAGAGCTTCAAGAGCTGTTGCATTAGATGCCTTTGGTGTAAGTCCTTCCGCCCAGATGGAGCAAGGTTCTCCACCCTGCATTGGACCAGCAAGTTGTAAACAAGGTAAGCAATTAGTAAAGGTTGATTAATCTGTTCAAAAACTCTACTTGACTGAACATGAGTAGCGTGATTCTGCTTCGTTCTCACTGATTATTTATCAACACTGGGCAAATGTAATTGATAAACTGGTCGTGATTATAGCAGTAGATTATGCAATTTTCTCGAAGTAATCATCATTTGCTAGGATTGCTGCATGGAAAAAGTGATGCAAAGTAAAAGTCGAGAGAAATGTACGTTTGGGGATGCAGTCTTCAAATCAAGGAACTCGACGTCAATAATGAATTTCCCAGTTACTGGAACCTCAAGTGCCCAAACAAAGTCTTCGCTATTCTTGATCAATTTGTCTTTTACTACTGCATCGTGGTAAAGGAGTAATCAGTCAAAAAATGAGAAAAATGCTGTCTTGTTAAGAATCCTGACATACTAAACTTCCTCACAAGGGATGATTGTTGAGAAACTCTGAATAAGTAAGAAGCATTAGGATAATGCATATTAGCTTTTCTAGCTTCTGATTCAACTTTCAAAACATTAGTCCAAGGCAAGGAGTTACAGAGGGGAACAGAGAAAACTTCCGATCATTAGATCATATCCCCTTTTTCGTAAATAACACTGAATAAACAAGAAAACGTATTCGGGTAATTCTAGAAATCCGTTATATTTTAAGGTTTTCACTGAGGTTGTAACCATTAAGGTAAAACTTCTCCAGACTATAGATGATCACTACCCCAAAAGGGGGGGTCTTTCTAGAATTATCCAGTTTAATAAAGAGGGGAAAGAATAGAGCAGAACTTTGGTTACCTGGATGGGTCAAGGCCTTGCGATCCCCAGCAGAACTAACGACCCGAATGATAAAAGATGCAATCGGGGGGTTGTCTCTGGTTAGATTCGATATTTCGGGATATAATTTTACAAATAAAACCCGGTTCTTCTCCACGGCCAAATGCCTTCATTCAAAAGAAAGAAAGGAACTCAGTCTATTTCAAGTAGATATAATTTACATGTGAATAGATAAACCCATCTAATTGGGATGAGTAGCTTACCAATTCCACTTGCCGATCCTGAAAGGATCAGATTTGCGGTAAGTGCAGGAAGCAGGGTTTTCGATTCTCCATTGGGCGAGGCGCGAAGTGGTTTCGACTCTGTAGGCAGAATCACTCATCCTACCACAAAAAGCCAGAGCCACCGTAATTTCATGGATGCAATCGAAGATACCCTCCAACAGAAACTCTCCGGGCTTTCCCAGGTTGACTACTTCTTCTTAAACTTCCTTTCTTCATTCATAAAAAGGATTATACTCTGTTCTTCACTCTGTTTCTCTCACTGGACCAGTCCCCCAAAAAAAGTCATACAAACCCAGAAAAAGCACAAAATATCCAATCTGGGGTTTGATTATTTCTGGATTTCTCCCAATGGTTTCGGGCACGCCAGGATTTCGGAGTTGCTTTTACTCCATTGATGGTGAGCTCTCCCAGGAAGAGAAAGAGAGAGAGTGAGAAAATAATATATTTGATGCAAAGCTGTGAGAGAGAGAGAGAGAGAGAGAAACAGACAGACTGAACCAAAGGGAAGGATTTGGTGGTATTGTTGGCTTACACAGCACTTCTATTGGTGTGAGATGGTGATGGGCGAGAGGTATATATGGCTGATTATTGATTGCTTGTATCACTGATTCACTGATGGAAATACGGGAGGCATACGTGGATTGAAGTATTGACCTTGCGGCATCCGCTTGCAAGAGAAAAGCATATTTTAATTTTTGGTGCTTTGAAGCAAAGTATCCAACTATCTATCTATCTGCCCTTTGGAAATTTCCGAAGCTCCCTTTACTCCTTCGACTGTGGAAAAGATATATACCTTTTTTTGCCACTCAAAACTTCAATTGCCTCTCTGGGTTTCTCCTTCTGATTCTCTCAAACTTGTAGGTAATGGATTATATTCTGTTGTTCAAGAAGCGTATTATTTTATTTGAATTACTTATTAAAACAAATTGCCTTCTGAAATGGGTCAGTTGTAACAGTCTCCATACTCCAGAAAATCAGGTTCATACAGTACGTGCCCATTCCTCCTGTGTTGATGTTACTAGTGGACCAATAAATTTGCTTCACGTTTTATACATTATCCGCTTCCTTGACCTCTTCTGAAAAATTAGTTAGCCTCAAGTTGACTCTCTTCTCTTTCTGGTTTTACAGAGAAGAAGATGAAGAAAGGGAATTTATAGTTCAATTTTCATCTTACAAGTTCAGAAATTCTTAGCTGACTCTTCGGATAGAACATGGGAGATATCAATGGTTATGATCGTTGTTATTATCAGTTCAGCAAGTTCCCCAGAATCAGTGAGCTTACCATGTTCCTTTCTCTTTCGTTTTTTGGTTCAATATTAAGATGATTGAAGCTCGTTTTCTGGGGAGGAATTTTAAAAATTCCAAAAATAAAGTTAATGAAAGAGTCACAAGGGAAATAAATTTCCTACCTAAACCGCTCAATTCCTTCAGGAGTTAGCTACGTCTCACTCTCAGTATTTGACTATTTTCTTATGAGTGATGATGGGTCCGTAGAGTTTAGGAGCTACTCGTACTCTACATTTGTTTTTGGTCAAAGAAGAGAAAAAGAAAATTAATGTAGTTAAATTTTGAATTTAAAAATATTAAAAATTATGATCATTTTTGAAAAATATACTACCTCTTATTTTAATTATAAGATCTTATTTATAATTATATAAAGTTTTGTCTCTCTTTCTTACCTACCATTTTAAGCCTGATTTGTTTATTACTACCTCCGGTTCTAATTATAAGAGCCAATTGACTAATTTGAGGAGATTAAGGAAGTAAGTTGAGTTAGTTATTTGTCCTAAATAAGTGTTGTCTTTCCTAAAATATCCTTACTAATCAAGTGTATTAACTAGAATTATAATTATTAGAAGGCTTATCTTGAAAAAAATTGAGTAAATATAAGAGACAAAGTGGATTGGGGTCTTATATTTAGGATCAAAATAAAAGTTAAATAGGGTCTTATATCGAGGACCGAACGTAGTACTACATATCTAAAAGTCACCTGAGAGGCAAAATATCTGTTAAACAGAAGTTGTAATATTAATGCGAAAATTTAGTCATCTTTCCCTATACTTTACATTATTTTTAATCAAATCCCTATGCTTTACATTTTTTTCCTGCAAAGGCAATCCTGTTTAGAAAATAAGAACATGTTTGGATTGTAGTTAGAAACTGTAAAAATGCCTTGGAATCTATGAAACTGAAATTGCAAACTGAATTGGACAAAAACTGTTGTTTGGCTGGGCTAACTTTTCCAACTAATTTCTAGCTTTCAACCTCAATTGGACTCAACAGAGAAAAATCTGACTTTTCAAACTGCAGTTTCAAACGGTGATTATTAAAAATGAACATTTCATATTTATCCTCACATTTTCTCCTATGCCTCATCTCCTTCGTTAACATAATGAGCTTTTATTCAGACCAAATAAATTTTAATTTATATTCATGTTTGTCCATTATGTATATTTAATTAATTATCTACAATGCGTTTTCAAATATTTTTTTTGTAACTAATATTTTTATTTTATAATTTCATAAATAAACTATTTATATTTTATCATAATAATTTTACATATTTTTTAAATTATTATTACATTAAAAACATAAAATTTCAAATACTACTATTCAATAAAATTCATACCTTTTTCAGTCATTTTACAACTAAACTAATTTTTCTATTAATGATTCAAACAACTTTTAACTTTTTTAACTGACTTTTTAAAAACACCTATCTAAACATACCCTGACTAATTTTTACTCTAACTTCAGTTATAAAAGTCAGTTGAGTTAAAAGTCAGTTTTGTCTAATGCCAATCCAAACATACCATAAATATAAGCACATCTTTCAATGAGATTTCAAATTTTGATTCATTATGTTATAAAAGAATAATCTCTTATATTAGACACAACTCAACTTTATATTTTTTTCTTTTTTAAAAAAAGACGTCTCCTAGTTTTAATGAGATTAGGCCACATGGACAATCAAAAACAAAATGTCTTCATCAAAGATGACAACTTGGACTAACTCAGCATGTGATAACAATTATGGAAGCGTTTGTAAGTTTTGGGAAACGTAGGGATCTGTTTAAAAATATGTGGAAATTATATGAATTAATTGGTGAATTTTTAAATAGTAGAGGATAATAGAAAAAAGAGTTAAAGAGAATAAAAGTGCTAACTATCAACTTTCATGTGCAAGCAACCACCATCCATCCAACTTAATTTTGAAGCTAATTTAGATTTAAATTAAGTAATGAAGGTTAGTATTAGGTAACACAGCTTGGAAAAAGTTGCTTTCCATCAAAATCCAAGTGGAAGCAATTCAACATTATTACTCCAAATCAACAAAGACTGCTAATGATTCTCTTTTTTTTTTTTTTTTTGCCCTTTGTTTTTTTAAGTGTTCCAATGAGGTTCAGATAGTGAGACATGCCTAAACTAGGGTGATGATTCTGATTGGACGCAATGGAATCTTTCAAGATTCAATTGTTTCTTTCCTTCCCAAAAAAAAAAAATCAATTTCGTCATCATTTTTTGGGAATACTCATAAATTAGGAAAACAAACCTTTTATTGTAATTGCCACGCACTTTTGACCCAAAAAAAAAATTGCCACGCACTATCTTAGTTAGATTGGCTCAATTCGTAGTTATCATTAACTTACCCTTCATCTTTTGGCAATTAATAGTTGTTGTTAGGAAGACCTAGTTTTTTTTATATCATTAATTAATCAAGTTTTACTGATTTTTCAAAATTAAATTATTCATATTTATCATGTTTAGATCGAATAAAAATAATTTATATTAAGAACGGGAGTCAGTAATATGGTTGAAGTGGGTTGAAAGAAACTGGGTCAACAATGGCAACTACAAATCCAATAGATACAATGTATTTTTGACCCTTCTCTGAGGAAGAAAAGGTTGACCTAATTGTCTCAAACTCCTCATTCTCCCATCAACGTTAATGGATTCCAAGTGTCCATTTTAGAGTCACCCATTAATTAGTATTTACACATATAATATTCTAAATGGCGAGGAAATTAATAGTTTATAAATTTTACTCCCTTTAAATTTAAAAAATAGATAATTAATTTATAAAAATTAAAAATATTAATTAAGTTAATTATTTGTTAAAAAGAATTTGTATTGATTTCTCTTATACTTTGTTGTTTAATCTATTAAAAGCTGCTCCCAGTGATATTAACTCCTTAAATATATGTAGTTTGGAAAAACTCTTTTAATACATACAATTCATAAGGATAGTTTGAAAAAAAATTATTGATTTAGAAAATAAAATGGATTGAGACTTTACATTTAAAAGTAAAATGAGTCTCCTGATTAATTTTTATATTTAGAACGTATGCAAGTGAAAAGGATATTTGAAATTTGAAAAAATAAAAATAAAGAAACAAACAAAAGTGAAGTTGGGTGGGAAGAATGGCAAATACTTGGAGCGTAACGATATTCTATGTATCCACTTGCATTTCAAAGTTTGGAGAGGTAGTTGCCACTTGCAATTCAGATCTTATGTGGAAATTCAGTTACCATATTGGAAAAAATTATAGTCACTTTTTTAAATCATTTTCTTTTAAAAGTGGGGTTAAATTATTGGTGCCACCTTCTTATTGATTAATTCGGTGTTAGAGAATACAAACCCCACATGAAAATTGACTAATAAACAGTTTGTGTGTGTGCGTGCGTGTTTGTGTAAGTTTATACTTAATACCTATTGTAACCAAATACTCTTTCCGTTCTTTATTGTAAAAGACATTTGATGCTTATGGTATGTTTCTATATATAAGAGACATTTAAAAGTTGTCTCTACTTTTTTGTGTTGATTTCCTATTTTATCCATATTTATTGTCTCCAACTCACACACTCTCTTCCCCCCATTTCTCTTTCTTTTAATAATTTAATTGTTCTCTCTCATACTCTCTCTCCTTATTAATGAGGGTATTTTTGGAAAAAAATTGTACTTTTTACACATTTATTATTCTTAATTAATTTTAACTGTTTTCTTATCAATATAATTCAGTTATTCGTCTCTTATAATAAGGAACAGAGGGAGTAATAGTTTAAGATACTTATGAAACTGATAAATTCGAATTCTTTTTTATTTTGGCCTGAATAAATTCAAATTCAAGCCACATGGATATAAAAGTTAGCATTCACTCGTCATCTATTTTTATTGTTCAACTTTTTAACAACATAAAAAAGACCAAAAACTGTCTTTGCTGTCTATCTATCCAAGGGATGGAAGGCAAAGGCCTTTGGTGTCCATAGCACAACAATAATTTATCTCTAAGATGTTTATATTTCGTTAGCTATATTTTTACTTTGACGATAACGAGACTGGAGTGAGCTTTAGTGTTGCCCATCACATTTTGAACAAATAAAATTTAATATAATCCGTTTTCGCATTTGAAAAGTATACAAATATAAGTGAAAATATCTTTTTGACGGTTGTTTTATACAAAATAAATTTATTATTAAAAAGTTATAAATTAAAGATTTGGACACTTTAGATTTTTTTTTTTTCAATAAGGATGAGCACCAAAATTGAACATAGTGAAAGCTGGTTTAGCTAACAAAG